AGGGTCTAGCCCCGGGTACCACTCAGACCCGCCCCGCCAGCCGAGCGTCCCGGGCAGGAAAAGTCTCTCACCGCCGCCAAAGCGCCGCTCACCCGGCGCTCGGCGCCATGTTGGCCCCGCCCCCTCCCGGGAGCAGGTCCTGGCAGGGAAGGAGAGCAAGTCAGTGTCCCTTCCTCGAGCCGGAGTAAGTCCTCGAGGCCCACGGCTTGAAATGCTATAAAAGACTCTGTTTCTGTGTCCACGTGTAAGGAGCACACCCTCCTTCTGCAATTACTTCAGTTTATTCCTTTACCACCCAGCGGCCAGGACCTTCCGGAGGCGCCACCAAACCCGGGCGGGGAAGCCTGGAGCGCAGTGAGACTCCACCCCCTTTCGGGCCGGCACTGCGCGTGCGCCGCCCCTGCCAAGCTGGATTTAAGTTGCCGCCGAACGCTTCGGGATTTAAAGGGCCCGCTGCCTTTCCGAAGTTGGTCTGAAGACAAGGGGTGGTTGGTTGTGGACAGCACTTTGTCATGGGACCTGTGCGGCTGGGAATATTGCTTTTCATTTTGGCTGTGTACGGTGCTTGGGCTGGGACGCCGAAGGAGGAGGACGATGACACAGAACGCTTGCCCAGCAAATGCGAAGGTATCTAAAGGGAATAGCCTCTATTCGCCTCCCTCTGTCCCACCTCCTTCGTCTAGGCCGAGCCAGATGGACTGTGATGGCTGGGTTATTCGATCTCCTTGAAGGCCTGAGGGACATTCTGGTGGAGCTTGGTGGAATCCCTATGGGGTCAAGGGAAGGAATGCATAGCCCTACCCGAAAACTATGGCACTACAATTCCCATGAGACATCCAGAGGGAGCCCGCTTTTTCTTGTTGGCTTGGGCCCCAACAGTTTGTGGGAATTGTAGTTAAGGGACTATCTGCTCAGGACCGCCCACTCTACACAGCATCTTTAGTGCCTCTGTGTGTTCGTATTTCCCCCATGCCGCTAGACCTAAATCTGGAGAGCCTGCTGGAACAGCCTGTAAGGCTCGTACCTTGTAAATATCCTCTGCTCCACCCTGGCAGAGACGCTCCCAAATTACAGGCCCCACGCCCTCCAGAGGGGGTTTGGAGTGAGTAAATCAGCCCTTGACGCTCATAAATGAAAGAAGAGGCCACACAACTGGGAGAGGTTCCCCATACGTGTGAGGCTTTGCAGAGGGTGGGTACTGTATGGATTTTACAGCGAGCAGCATCTTCTGGGCTGCATCAGTGTTGGGCCCAGCTGGGAGAACGCACTTCAGAGCTGGGCCATTCAGTGTCCTGGCTCCCCAGTTTATTGCCTTCCTGACTTTAATTTCTTCCCTGGATTCTTTTTCCCTTCACCTCAGTCCACAGTGCATTTCACTATCAGTATTCCCCATGACTTGGTCCTAATCTCTCCTCTCCTTTCACTTGTGTCCCCACTCTTCTCCCCCTACCTCTGCCAGTGTTTCTAAAGGGACCCAGTTGAGTCCTAACACCTCTGCAGGCCTCCTGCTGTGATCAGCATACAGCCAACATTTTTGGCATAGTGTCAGTCTCTTTGTTGTATGGCCCCCATCTTTCTTACATTTGCATATCCCACCTCCCATCCCCAAAAAGCCCAGGCCTCAGCCACACTGAACTTCTCAGAGTCACCGAGCCTGACCTACCCCCTCATACGTCTCTGCCTTTACAGGTTGCTCTTCTCTTTGCCTGGAATGACCATCTCCCTTCTGTATTTGGTTCTTCAAGAGATAGTTTAAATGTCACCTCCTTTGGAAGCCTTCTTCCTTTTCTGTCACCTCCCACTATACTGTAAGGTCTTGGAGGGAAGGAAAGTACCTGTGTCTCCCAGGTCCTAGCCTAGTGCCTGGCACGTTTTAGACACTTTTGTTACTTGCCCCTGTGTTTAGTTTGTTTGGCTCTTCTGTATAGGCCACTCCTTGTCTTGGGACCCACTATGTGCCAGGACATGTGCTGGGGGTGCTGGAAAGACAGTGGTGGAACAGATGCACTGCTCACCCTTAAGGAAATCGCAGGCTAGTAGGAAGTCAATAAATGACCACTGAATGAATTTTGTGTTTCCTAGTGAGACTAAGTCTCTTGTTCTTAACCCCTAGCGTAGGGTCCCTCATACCATATTGTCATCATCTTTTTAGCTGTCCCCAACTACATGGCAGTGTCCTGTGGATAAGGATCATGGGTCTTACTGCTCTCTGTATTGTTACTGTGCATCCAGAAGGAGCTCAATAAATAGCTGCAGAACAGCAGCACACACTTGTACACTGCTCACTAGGTGCCAGGTACTATGATAGGAGTTTTATATAGATTGACTGATTTAATTCTCACCACACCCCTGAGAAGGAGGTACTATTATTATCTCCATTTTAGAGGTGAAGAAACCAAAGCCCAGCAGGATTGTCAGCTACTAAGTGGCTGACTCAGGATTCCAACCCAGTCATGCTGGCTGCAGAGTCTGCACTTATGACCATCATGCTCTGCTGCCTTTGCTCATCTGCAGAATGAGTTGTTGGTATGTTTGTTTGTCTTTCACATCCTCTTGGACATCTAGTGTGTAAGCTGCTGAGCCTGGAGCTACAGGAAGAGCTGAGTCGCACTGGCCGATCTCGCGAGGTGCTGGAGCTGGGGCAGGTGCTGGACACAGGCAAGAGGAAGAGACACGTCCCCTACAGCGTTTCGTGAGTCCTTCTTGGTGCTTCTCCACCTTCCAACCCCTGAAGGAGCCCTGGGAGCTCCCACAGTATCCAAAGGTGTCTTTGTTTCCCCTCTTCCTACAGAGAGACAAGGCTAGAAGAGGCCTTGGAGAACTTATGTGAGCGGATCCTGGATTACAGTGTTCATGCTGAGCGCAAGGGCTCACTGAGATATGCTAAGGTCAGACTCTTCCCCACGGCAGGATCCCACTTCTCAGAAACAACAACCTCTATCCCCTCACGCCTATTCCCCCCGACCCCGGCCCCAGCTCTGGAGTATCCTCTCCCTATTGTAGACTCCCTCATGTCACCTTCATGCAACTCGCCTGAGTCTCCAGTAGTTGACAAAACTGATCTGGCAGAATGAGGAAGGAGGAGGTGGAGCAGTGGGCTGGGCTGATCCCAAATTCCCATCTCTCAGGGGCAGAGTCAGACCATGGCAACGCTGAAGGGCCTGGTGCAGAAGGGGGTGAAGGTGGATCTGGGGATCCCTCTGGAGCTGTGGGACGAACCCAGCGTGGAGGTCACGTTCCTTAAGAAGCAGGTAGGAAGGATACTGCACTGCTTAGGGAGGAGAGAAGGGAACCTGAGCAGGGAGCTAGATCCTAGGGAGGTCCACCTCTGAGCAGGGAGAGGGGGCAGAGTGAAGACTGCCATCGATTAAAGTGAGCCCAGGAGCCTATTAAGAACTAATTACAGAGGCTAATAATATGGACTGTCACTTACTGAACAGCTACTATGTGCTAGATTTAGGGCCACATACTTTCCAGCTGCTGCCTCATTTTACCCTCACAACAACCTGACGTGGTAGGTACTATTACCATTTTTCATTTTACAGGCAAGGAGCTGAGACTCAGAGTTTAATAACCTACTTGGCACAGTAGGTGCTAGTAAATGTTTGTTGAATGAATGAGGATCACACATCTAGTAAGCCAAGTTTAACCTCCTGGTTTACCTGCCTCTTCAGGGTGGGGTGGGGAGACAGGGAGTGAAGAGCAGAGAGGAGGGTTTCCAAAACCCAGCAAAGCAGATACCCTTCTGACCCTTCCACTTGACCAGTGTGAGACGATGCTGGAGGAGTTTGAAGATGTCGTGGGAGACTGGTATTTCCACCATCAGGAGAAGCCCCTACAGCATTTTCTCTGTGAAGGTCATGTGCTCCCAGCTGCTGAAACTGGTAAGTGTGTGAGCTGGTCCCTTTCCTGCCAGACCACACCCTCCCCTACCCCCAGGACCAATGGCTAAATTGTTTTCTATCATCCAACTTAGCATGTCTCCGGGAAACTTGGACTGGAAAGGAGAAGATCACAGATGGGCAAGAGAAGACAGAAGAGGAGGAAGAGCAAGATCAGGAGGAGGAGGAGGAAGAGGAGAACCTGACCAACACACCAAGCTACCCCAAGCACGACCCAGAGGATCTTTGACCCTTGCCTTTGAAGCCCCCACGGGGGCAGCAGTCATAGAGAAGCCTCTGAAGTCTGAGCTCTCCCTGCCCCACAGCTTTAAGAGTGTGTGTGTACGTGTGAGTGACCGCAGAGCTTGTAGCTGTTCTCTCCCATCTGGTCTCAGGCAGGATCCGGGGGTACAGCATGGCATGGCTATGGGGACAAAGGAGGGAGCAGCAGGTGGAAGCCCTGCCCCAACAGATGAGCCCTCTGCCTGCCGTCTAGCCCCTTAATTGTCAGGTGTGTGTGGTGACAGTATTGAAGCCTTTCCCCTTTAAATATCTCTACTACATCCCCCCCCCCCCCCCCCACCCCCCGGGGGTCAGCGATGGCACAGGAGTTGTAGGCCTTGGGAAAGTCACTTTGCCCCTCGGGGGTCTGTTTTTCAGACTTTTACAAGGGAAAAAGCCAGAAAGGACATTCTCTATGACTTAGACACACCGCCTGCGTCCAGGAGGCTATATGCCCACAAACTGTGAACAAGAAGGGACAGTGGATGGGGACAGGGCGATGTTGATAACTTACGTGGCGTAGATACTTGGTCTACTTCATATTAATTTCACCGAGGGCCCACCACATAATTTCGCAGGTGCCAAATTTTCTATATCGCTAGTAAATTTTTTTTTAAATCAGTTGGGCCCAAAGTATGAAGTGTCGTGCATTCATCATAGCAGGCCGATATGGCAGCGCCCTGAGAATAGGGCCGTTGGCCGCCGTCCTTTAAGAAGCCAATTTTGCAGTCCAAGGAGGCTGGCAGGGCCCAGCGGGCTGAGAACCGCGGTCTTCAGGTTGGGGTCAGACAGCCCGTCTGCGCATGCCACAAAGTGCGTCGGAATTAAAACTCAGCGTCTGGCGCCTCCTCAGCCGCCATACTTGAGCTTACGGGAGCTCGCAGAGGACAAAATCGCGCGCGCTTTTCCGATTTTTATTTTTTCCGGAGTGAGGCAAGACCTAAGGCGATAAAGCTAGGTCCAAGGTAAAGAGCAGCTTCTGTTAGAGTGAGGTATAAGCAAAACCGATAGCTTCTGGAGGGTGACGGGTGAGGACGCACCACCCGAGACGAGCGAGGCGGGGACCACAGACGCCTAGGGCCCCGTGCGTTCACGCTGGAGGGAAGGTTGGGCGATACCATCTTCGAAAGGGGGGTGAGGGCGATACCACCGTAAGGAGGCGGGGGGGGTGGTGGTCAAGAACTGAGATTTGGAAGGTGCCGCTGGGCCGAGGCTGGGCCTGTGTGGGAATCCAGAGGGAGTGCACAGTCGCCCACAGCACCATTTCTTTTCCCCAGCCCGTCCCTCCCCTGCCATGAGCAGTCTAGTGCAGACCAAGCCGCTGCGTGGGGAGACCCCTCTATTGGTGCCCGGCGGCCCATACTCCGTGGTGGTTCTGCTGCAGGGCTACGCGGAGCCCGAGGAGGGCGACGCCGTGCGTGCCGACGGCTCCGTGACTCTTGTCCTGCCCCAGGCCTGGGGCCCTGCCTCCAGCCACGAAGAGCCCCCGCCCACGGGTGGCGAGGCGAAGAGCGCCCTGGAGGAGGCGGCCCGTGGCCCCATCCTCGTGGACACCGGGGGCCCCTGGGCTCGCGAGGCGCTTCTGGGGGCCCTGGCGGGGCAGGGCGTGGCCCCTGGAGATGTGACTTTGGTGGTGGGGACCCACGGGCACTCGGATCACATCGGGAACCTGGGGCTGTTTCCCGCGGCGTCTCTGCTGGTCTCGCACGACTTCTGCCTCCCCGGGGGCCGCTATCTCCTCCACGGGCTGGGGGAGGAGCGGCCCCTGCGTCTGGGGCCCGGGCTCGAGGTGTGGGCCACGCCGGGCCACGGGGGCCAGCGGGACGTCAGCGTTGTGGTGGCGGGAACAGCCCTGGGCACCGTGATGGTGGTGGGCGATGTGTTTGAACGCGAAGGGGACGAGGACTCCTGGCAGGCGCTGAGCGAGGACCCGGTGGCCCAGGAGCGGAGCCGGAAGAGGGTCCTAGACACTGCCGATGTGGTTGTGCCTGGTCACGGAGCCCTCTTTAGGGTGGTCAGGGAAGCCTCGCAGCCAGAGACAAAGGATCCAGGGAACAGCCGGCAGGATTCCGTGGTTGGAGACAAGGAGCCCACAATGCACGGATAAGCCCTGGGAGAGACTGGACTCCTGTCAGGGAAGCCACTCAGCCAAGGACCTGACGTCCCGGAGACGGAGAGGACCCGGACAGCCAATCAGAGGACTCAAGGTGGTCACTTCCAGGTCCTCTAGGAGGCCAGCTTTGCAGCGAGGATTCAGTGCTTTTGCCAGTGCTGTCGCCAATGTCACTGTTTCTGCAACCAAACTGACCCCAAGGACTGGCTCAGCTGTGTGCCCCCTCTCGGGGCTTCATTAGTAAAAATGAGAGAATGTTCTTGGGAGGGTCGTCTAAAATAAAAACAGGAAACTGCATGGAAAATCGTACTGCCCTAATGTAAATATGAAGTATTAATAGCGATAATCATGCAAATGTAATCAGCAGCTGCAACACTTCAACGGGTCGCTTTGGCCGATTGTCTGTTTCTCCTAGGATGCTGTTGCTGAGAAAAGGTTAACACCTAAGTCATCTGACTTTAATTTATTCATACATTCCTTCATTCAATGAGTATTTGACACTTGTAATGTCTCAAGCACTGCTCTAGGTCATGGAGATAAAAGAGTGAGCAAGCTGGAGAAACTCCTGTCCCTCATGGAGATTATGTTCTACTGAGATGTACAAGTAAACAACAACAGTAACAGTAGTAAATCATATAATTACAGGTTGTGGTTAGAGATATGAAAAAAGAAAGCAGGGTGAGAAGGGGAGAGTGTGCTGGGGTGGAAGGGTGGTCAGGAAAAGCAGAGTCGAGGTTTGATAAGAACTGAACGAGAAGAAAGCAGGCCATACAAGGATCTGGAAGATAGGCCTTCCAGGCACAGAAATAGCAGGTATAAAGGCCCTGAGGCAGGACAGCTTGGCCTGCTTGAGCAGCGAGAAGACCGTGGGTTTCAACTGCAGAGTGCCAGGGAAGAGTGGCAATAGATGAGGCTGCAGAGTTAGGCAGGGCCTTGTGGACCATGGGGAGGGGTTTCCATTTATATTGAGAAGCCTTTGACTTTTGAGCAGGCTAATGACCTAATCTCACATGTTTTAAAATTACCATTTGTTCTGAGTGGAAAAGTGGTTGGAATGGGGCAAGAGTAGAATTGGCTGTACTAGATGGGAAGCTATTGCACTCCTCCAGGTGAGAGAAGTTGATGGCACCTCCCCTTATTCCAGAAGTCCTGTTATGGCTGTGGCCTCTTCACAACTGTGTCCCAGTCCCCAGGCCCTCCAAACACACCTGCAGAAGCACTCAGGTGGGGCAGACAAAGGAGAGGAGGAAGTCCACCTTATTGTGGATGATGAACCGCCCTGGGTGGATGTTGGGCAGGGCCAGACTGCCAGCGTTTCCCAGGCATCCACAAAGGCCGCACGGAGATCAGCAAAGGCAGCTTGGAGGGGCTGGTTCACCTGGAGGGTGAACCAGTCACTGCTGTACATGGACTGGTCGCTGATATTGGCCAGTTTGATGACCACAGGAGTGTCGGTTCCTGGGCCAGAAGCACAGCCACGGCTGCCTGGGTCCTTGCCAGTCATTGCACAAAGATGGATGGAGGGGAAGTGGTGCAGTGGGTGCACTGTCATGGAGTGGAGGCCTCTGGCCAGGCCCCCCAGCTCCTGGGCCATGGTGTGCAGGGAGGCTACTGGGGTGTGGAGGGGCCAGCTAGTGCAGCAGTATGCCCTGAGTGGTCTTCACGGCTGTCAGGGGCCTCAGCTGATATGTGGCATGTGGATCCACCAGGTTCAGGGCTGTGGGGAGGCTGAGAGAAGAGGAGATCGGTTATTTAGAGCTATGCACTCTCAACATGTACAAACAAAAATTCCAGTTTTGACTTACTTCCCAGAACATAGGTATTCTGCCCATGACTCAGGCCTTGTCATCTGGAACAATACATCCCTTTGGCCACACTGATTGTCTCCCGGATGGACAGGTCGTCTAAGTTAGTCCAGTTTTGGTAATCTTAGGGTTTTTGCTGGAGCTAGTGGAAAAAAGCATAGTTCTTTCCTGCAAGACTGACATGGGATGATGGGTCATATTGCCACCTTGGAAGAGCCACTGCTACTGGGGCCACCAAATGGAGACCAGGAATGAAGCTAAACAGAAGGGGGCAGAAGTGAGTAGTTGAGAGAAACAGACCTGATGACCAGATTGGGCACTGAAAGCCAGATCCACTCCTTAACTCTTTAGTCACTTGGGCCAATTAACTCCTTTCCTGCCTAAGCTGCTTTGACAGTCACTTAGAACAAGAAGAGTTGAATGGATGCAAACACTGGAGGAAATGATCCATTACAAGGAGGCAGTGAGGATGCTGTGGAGAAGGGTTGATAACAGGGAAAGCAGTGCTTAAGATATTAGGAGACTGGGCTCAGAGCGACTGTCCTCTTAGAAGTTCCTTTCAAGCTTCTTTTTTGGAAAACTCTTAGGGAAACTTGAGCTGTATGATTAGATTCCTCTACTCACAAATATTCAATGGCTCCACATGGCCTGTAGAATAACCCAAACTCTCACCCAGTCCTCTTCAAGGCAGACTCTCCACTCCAGTTTGGCTGGACTGCCTGCTGCCTTCCAGACACGCCTGCATCCTCCTTCAGATACTCCCACCACTGCCAAAGTGTGGAGTTCCCCACCATGTGGATCTGAGCAGCCAGCCAGGCAGCCCAGGATGCTGTCAACAGTGGAGGAGGAGCATCTGGAGCAGGACAGTGAGCACCACAGATTTCAGTGATAGAAGCCAGAGAGTTTTGAGACCAGCTCAGAGCTGCATGGGAGCCATGGGGACAGGGCTATAGGAAAGGGAAAAATGGAACAGCTAAATTAATAAAAAGAACTAACATTTTTTGAGTGTTTACTCTGTGCCAGGTGCATGTACTTTAACCATCCTCTTATATTAGATGGGGAAATTAAGTGAGGTGAGCTGATAAATGTCAGAGCATGCATGTGAATGCAGGCTTCCAGACTCCACTGCCCATCCCTTAACCACTGCAGGGAGAGGCTAATCTCAGTTATGGACAGAACCCTCCAGGTGGGCTAACCTCCACCCCTAACTATCCCAGATGCACTCACTCAAGTTGCTGCTTCTCTTGGCTGCCATCTGGCTGTGGATCAGAGAAAGGCTCTGAAGGAGAGCTTTGTCACATTCCTGAAGAGACAAGTGTCTGTGACAAGAATGAAGATGATGAGGGCTGGTGGTCAGTGTGCTCTGCTTCAGTGGTGTGGGTTCAGGGGCTTAGTGGTGTGGGTTCAGGGGTTCAGATCCTGGGCATGGACCTACACCACTTGTCAGCCATACTGTGGTGGTGACCCCCATGTAAAGTGGAGGAAGATTGGCACAGATGTTAGTTCAGGGTTAATCATTGTTATGCAAAAAAAAAAAAAGAGGAAGATTGACAACTGATGTTAGCCCAGGGCTAAGCTTCCTCAGCAAAAAAAAAAAAAAAAAAAAAAGTCAATGAATGAATGGTGTATCAATTAGCTTTTATTGTGTTACAAACCACTGCAAATCCTAGTGGCTTAAAAACACAAATATTTATTATTTATTACAATTCTGTGGTTCATCTGGATTGTCTTGGTGAGAGCTGAATGGTCCATAACGGCCTCACCCATGCATCAGGTGCCTCAGCTGGAATTGGTGGAATGGCTGGGGCTGCTCTCCACATGGTTTCTCAACCTCCAGTAGGCCAGCTTGGGCTTGTTCACATGGTGGCAGAGGTGCTCCCAGTGTTAGAGCAGGAGCTACAAAGCCACTTGAGGTCTAGGCTCAGAAATTGCACAATATCCCTTACCTCACATTCTGTTGGTCAGAGGAAGTCGTAAGGCCAGCCCAGACTCAGGGATAAGGAAACGGCCTCTACCTCTTGACAGAAGGAGCTCCAAAAGTTCTGTGGCCATTTTCGTTGTTGCAATCTACCCTAATGGCTGTTCATGAGTTGGTGATGCTGAAAGTTCACCATCTCCAATTTTAGGTAGGTCTTAAATGCAATCTTTTTATGCCTTCTCCCATGTCCCAAAGCAGTCCTGTCAATCACACCACACCATTCCCTCCTCAGCCCCAGAAGAGAGCAGCACTTCTGACTTCACAGAGAAAGCAAAGACCATTGTCTCAGCCTTCTCTGCTTAAGACACCTTACCAGAAAACTCATCAGTATCTGCACCCAGGCTGTACTCCAGAAGAGGAGCAGTCCCCCACTCTCCTACCAGACATTTTCTTTATATCCTCGCTGATTCCTTTTCAGCATTTTCCATTCTCTGGCTCGCTCAGTCTGGCTCCGACCCTGACCACTCCACTGAAAGGGCTCTGGATGAAGTTGCTCATGAACGTCATAATTGCCAACTCCACAGGACACTTAGTGCTCATTTTACTTCACTGCCCAGCAGACTTGACATTCCGTCTTGAAACTTACATGCCCCCTTGGCTTCCTTGACCATACCCTACTCTGTTCTGCACTTACTGCCCACTTCCCTCTCAGTCCATACTGGGGGCTCTTCTTTCTCCTCATGCACCTTAAATAAAAATTTTTGTTGTTGATTGGTCATAAGAACATCTATAAAATAAAATGTATGGAGAACCATAATGCAACAGACCACCCAATTTAAGAAAAATATATTGTCATTACTTTGAAGTCTCCTTACTTTTTTCTCCAATCCTATTCCTTTCCTGGTCCCTCAGAAGCAACCACTATCTTGACTGGGATGTTTATCATTTTCTTGAATTTTTTTGTGGTCTTACCATATGTATTTGCATTTCTACACAAGGATTGTTTTTGTATGTTTTTGAACTTAAAATAAATGAAATCGTATTGTAAATATTCTTCTACAACTTGCTTTTTTTCACTCAATATTATGATCCTGAGGTTTGTTCATTTATTATTTTTGCATGCGTAGTATTCACTTTCATGAGTAATGACAGTGTTGGGAAAACTGGATATCCACATGCAAAAGAGTGAAATTGGACTCATCTTACCATACACAAAAATTAACTTGAAATGGATTAAAGACTTAAATGTAAGACCTGAAACTGTAAAACTTCTAGAAGTAAGCATAGGGAAAAAGTTCCTTGACACTGGTCTTGGTCGTGATTTTTTGGATATGACACCAAAAGCAAAGGCAACAAAAGCAGAAATAAATAAGTGAGACTACATCAAACTAGAAAGCTTCTGTACAGCAGATGAATCAATCAACAAAATGAAAAGGTAACCTGTGGAATGGGTGAAAACATTTGCAAGCCATGTATCTCATGAGCACTTAATATCCCAAATTTATAAAGAACTCATACAACTCAATAGCGAAAAGTCCAAAAAATGCAATTTAAAAATTGGCAAAGGACATGAATAGACGTTTTTC